TCTAACCTCATTGATCGTTCCAGCCTACTAGAGGGCGCTAGAGCCAGAGCTATTTTTCAGATGAAATAGGCTTGAGGGCCACCTGCTGGGCCAGGGCCATACACTGGATTATGAGAGCCAGGCCTTGAGCTCAGGGCTCTTGTTGCTACTGGCCTTTCTCCAAATCCCCAGACATCTCCTTCCACTTTAGGAACTCTCTTCTTGTCTGTGTTCAGGTGCTGTATCCTTTGCGCCATTTGTATTCCTCTAAGGGTTCCTGGAAAGAGCAGAAAAGGAGGCTGCTTCACACCTATAGGCCTGCCTTACCTAGCTGAGGACCCATCCTGAAGATGTCTCATCCTGCTCTTAGGATCTGTTTCCTCAGGTCTTACTTGGGGGAACCACATGTATGTGTGCCCACTCCCGATGGACTGATGAGTTCATCTCTTTTTTCCTTTTTTTTTTTTTTTTTTTGTCTTTTTGAGATAGGGTCTCCCTGTAGCCCCAGCTGTCCTGGAACTCACTATGTAGACCAGGCTGGCCTTGAATTTACAAAGATCTGCCTGCCTCTGCCTCCCAAGTGCTGGGATTAAAGGTGTGCATCACCACGCCCGGCTTTTCCTTTTTTTTTAAAGATAGGGTCTCACTCTGTAGCCTAAGCTGAAACTCACTGTGTAGCCTCGGCTAGCTTTGAACTCACAGTAGTCATCTCACCACCTCCCCAGTGCTGGATTATGGAAGTGAGCCTCTACCCCGACTGTGGGTTGATCTCCTAACCCAGTATAAAGGGCAGGAGGGTGTCCCAGGCAGAACGGTGCCTGTCATTTGCCTAACTGTCCCCCCTGTGCCACCTTGAGCTCTTCTTCCGGCTCCAGTAGGAGTTGCAGGGAGGGGAAAGGTGGGAGGATTTGTCTCACACCTGCACCCCTCTTACTGCCTTGCCACAGCCCTCACCAGGGGACAATTCTACTGTGCCCAGGGTGGTCCAAGCATCCCATCTGGATGGTCCCTGGTTCTCACCATTTTTGCAGCACTCCCCATCCCTCTATAAACAGCCCTCAGTTACTTCTTCCATGTGTTTCAGGGGAGTCCTGGTTGACTTAAGGAGAAAGACGCCTTGGCTGCCCCAGCAGGAGGGGTAGGAGACAGAAGGAGGAAGAAAAGGAAAGGGGGTATGTGTGAAGGTAGACTTTCTCAGGTGGATCTTATGGACAAATCAGTGGCGCACCTAAGAACCAGGTAGGAACTCAGTGTTGGGTCTTGGAAGATGTTTCACCAGAGTCCTTTTGTTTCATAAAATGAACAGTCTTTAAATGAACGGCCTCTTCTGACCCGCCCCTGAGCCACACTATAGCCAGGCACCATGCTGGCAGCAATTTCAGGTGACCCATTTTGGATTAGTGGTGTCTGCATAAAAATTCTTAGTTTTTCACCCTGACCTGAAAAGGGTCCTGGGTCCCGGCAGCCTATCAGAGATTTAGTCATTTGGTCGCATCCTCCTTGGTCTCTAGAGGGTCCTTAGAGTTAGGCCCAGCGGGCCTGAGCAGCACTTACTCCCTCACCCCTGCTGTAATTAAAAACTGGCCCAGCACACACCTTCCATAGTGCCCAGGGCCTCTGGGATCACTAGCACTCAGAGTTACTCCTTAGGCAGCAGAAATAGACCCTTACTGACCCCATTACTTCAAGCTTTGTGGACTCTGGCCATATACACACACATACACACCCCCCCCCAAAAGGCAGAAACCACATTTGACTTAGTGACTTGCTTTGGCCTTGGCCCATGGAAAACACTCAGTGAAATAACTCCCACAGATAAGAATACCAATGGCCAATTTTAAAAGATATTTGTTCTTTTTTCCTTTTTTTGAGACAAGGTCTTCCTATAACCCCAACTGGCTTGGAGCTCACTATACTCACTATGTAGATCAGGCTGGCCTTGAGCTCACAGAGATCTGCCTGCCTGTACCTCCCAAGTGCTGGGCTTAAAGGTGTGGGCCCCCACACCCAGCTAGATATTTGTTATTTTTTTTTTAAATGTGTATGAGTATATTGCCTGCATGTCTGTAATGACACCTGTGTTGTGCAATGCCTGTGGAGGTTTGAAGAGGATGTTGGGTCACCTGGAACTGTACTTACAGACAATTGTTTGTTGCCATGTGGGTGCGAGACTCAAACCCCAACATTTGTTATTTCTAAATAGAAAATACAGCCACATAGTTAAAACAAAAACTAAAAAAGAGGGGCTGGAGAGATTGCTCAGCAGTTAAGAGCACTGACTGCTCTTGCAGAGGAACTGGGTTCAATTTCCAGAACCCATATGATGGCTAACAACTGCACATAACTCCATATCCAGGGCATCAGGTACCCTCTTCTAACCTCTGCGAACATTGCCCGCATGTGGTGCACTTACATGCAGGCAAAACACTCGTATACATAAAAATAAAAATAAGTCAAAAAATGAAAAACACCTCAAAAACATGGTGAAAAGTATGAAAAGTCTCTTTACACCAGGTGTGGTGGCACAGGCGCCATGGCGGCACACACCTTTATTCCCAGCACTTGGGAGAAACTCTGTGAGTCCTAAGCCAGCTAGGTTTCCATAGTGAGTTCCAGGCCAGCCAAGGCTGCATAGTGAGACCCTATCTGGAAAAAAAAAAAAAAAGAGTCCTTTTTCTTTTTCGAGACAGGGTCTCCCTGTAGCCCCAGCTGGCCTGGAACTCACTATGTAGACCAGGCTGGCCTTGAACTCACAGAGATCCACCTACCTCTGCCTCCCAAGTGCTGGGACTATAGGTGTGCACTACCATGACCAGCTTGTCTTCTTTCCGCCCCACCCGCACAGGCCCAGCTCTTTCTACATCTACCCTCAATCTTGTGCTCACAGAGGCAGCACTGGTATTCATGTCTGTGCCCAGAATTCCTTAAATTTTTTTTTAGATTTTGTTCTTTTTCTTCTTTTTTTGAGACGGTGCACACCTTTAATCCCAGCACTGGGGAAGCAGAGGCAGGTGGATCTCTGTGAGATCAGGTCAGGCTGTGTACATAGTGAGCTCCAGGTCAGCTGGGGCTACAGGGAAACCCTGTTTATAAAATAATAATAATAATAATAATAATAATAATAATAAAAATGATAATAAAGTGGAACTAAAGTTAAAGAGTTAGCTAAAGTAGTTTGGCAGAGTGGCAGTTCACAGAAAATGTAAATGATCAATGTACATCTGAGAAGCTCAGCAGCTTGGCGTTCAGGGGGCTGCATAAGTAAACTTCCACTGCACTAGCAGAACCTCACTTCTCATTCACCCAGAGGGCAAACTGCAAAGGCCCTAGTAATGGGGAAGCAGGAATTGCTCTAAACTTTTGGGTAAACAATCCAGCAGAATATGTTAATATGTTTAATACACATACCCTTTGATCCTATTCCTCTGCAACAAAGCTCTGGAAGAGAAAGCTATGTGTGCAGAGCATAGCACGACAGCATCGTGTGAAAGTGAAAAAACTAAAAATCTGGCTTGGTGTAGTGGGACATGCCTGTAATCCCAGCACTTAGAAGGCAGGAAGATTGAGATTTCAAGGCTAGCCTCAGATACACAGTGAGACTGTTTCAAAATACAAAACTAAAAAGGCCTAGATAGAGTTCAGTGTTTGAGTACCTGTCTAGTATGAGCAAGGCCCCGAGTCTGATCTCCAGAATTGAAAAACAAAACCTGTTAGAAAATGTTAGAACGGGCTTGACTAGGGCCCCGACTCTGATCTCCAGAATTGAAAAACAAAACCTGTTAGAAAATGTTAGAACAGGCTTGACTAGGACAACATGAAAATGAAAGATGAGACTGACGTCAGGAGCAGAGTGTTCTTTATTAAGAACAGTGAAGGAACACAGTTTCTCCCTGGGACTGAAACTGAGGCACTAAAGTTCATTTGGTCCCAGTTCTTTTTTTTTTATTTATTTATTATTTTTTTTATGTGTATGAGTGTATTGCCTGCATGTATGTGAGTGCACCTGTGTCGTGCAGGGACACGGAGGTCAGAAGAGGGCTTTGGATTCCTCTGGAACTGGAGTTAAGGATGGTTCATAGCCGTCATGTGGGTGCTGGGAATCGAACCCAGGTCCTCTGAGAGAGTAGTCAGTGCTCTTAACCACTGAGCCATCTCTCCAGCCCTGGTCCCAGTCTTTATAAGGCTTAGGAGGAAAGATCAGGCATTTTACTACAGTCCTATATTTTTTGCAGTTTGAGGGGTTAAGACCATAGTGCTGTTGTTATGGTTTGGGATAGTGAGTTTTCCCAGACAGTATAGTCACTGGGATGGGGGTTGGGGTTTCACAGAGTTTCCCAGCTCTGGGTTTCCAAGCTGTGACATTTATCCTTCACCCACAAATCTGAATATTCATAAAGGGAGAATGGTTGAATATATTATGATATATCCATAGCAGGTAATACTATGCAGTAATTATACAAAGAAGTTAAAATTATATGGTTTGATCTGAGGAAATATCCACAAAATATTTTGTTAAACATAAAAAGCAATTTACTAGTAATTTAAAAATTCCACATGCAAATACATTGCATGCATATACATTTCTTTGTGGTTACTCTTTGACTATGTTACAGAAGTGTAGAATAGTGCTGTTCAAGCAGAAGTGATTTTGTCCCCCAAGGGACATAACTCACAGAAATGAATGAAGACACTTTTTGTTGTCACACTGGGGAGTTCCAGCAGGCAGAGCTTTAAATCCCATGACACAGGAGGACAGTCTCACCTCCTCCCTCTTCAAAGAATTTCCAGACCCTAAATGTTAATTGTGTTGAGAGGTTCAGAAAGTTTGGCTTAGTAAAAGAAAAACAAGAATAAACACCAAACTGTCAGCTTTTTCTTACACATCTGTGTTATTTGACCTACTTCAAATGTACATTTACTTTGACAAGTAAAAATTACCGAATAAAGTAAAAAATGCTACTCAAAGTTTATTGTTTTAGTCAAGACAATGATGGAGCAGAGTTGCAAACTGTTCCCCAGGGAGATCGCTAGGGTAAGGAGCTAAGTGGAGGGAGCTGGAGCCAGAAGGGGATGGGGAGACACACCCTGCAGCCTGGTCTTGAAGATGATGCACACTTTTGTGTGGGTATGTTTGTGTGTGCATGCACATTCCTGTGTCAGAGGTCAACACTGTGACTCCCTTGATAGCTTTCTGCCTTATTGTTTGAGACAGGATCTCTCACTGATCGTGGAGCTTACCATTTTGGATAGACTGGCTAGCAAGTCCCCAGGACCCTCTTGTCTCCTCCTCACCAGAGTTGGGATTACAGGTATGTGCTGAAGGGCCTGGCTTTTATGTGGGTTCTGGGGATTGAACTCAGGTCTTCATACTTACACAGCAGGTACCACCAACTGATATATTTCCCTAGTCCCCAATCTTAACTAGGGTGAAGGTTGACCTAGACAAGGGCCTGCAAAATTTCTGTATTATTAGAGAAATTTATGAGAGTGAGCAGTAACCCTAATTTTTAAAAAAATTACAGGGTCTCCCTATAGCCCTAGCTGGCCTGGAACTTGCTATGGAGACCAGGCTGGCCTCGATCTCACAGAGATCCACCTGCCTCTGACTCCAAAGTGCTGCAATTAAGGGCATGAGTCACCACACCTGGCTTTAAATTAGAATCTTGGGCCAGTGAGATTGGCTCAGCAGGTAAAGGCACATGTCATGAAGGCCTGAGTTTACTCCCTGGAATCCATGTAACCATGGAAGGAGAAAACCAACACAATAGTGTTGTCCTTTGAAATCCACAAATGCACTGTGGCATGTGTATGTGCCTACATAAGCACATCACATACACACACACACACACACACACACACACACACACTCACTCACTCTAATAACTTTCCATCTTATAGCCTGGAATATACCATCTTACGATGAAGTATTGGGGACTTACAACACATCAAAGCTGAATATTACACTGGTCTGTTGAGGGATGGGTTAGGAGATGTTCACTGGGAAAAGGGTTTGTGGTTAAGAACACTGGTGTAAATACACAATTAAACAGGATTATTTGCTGCTAGCCTAATCAGACCCTTTGATATGCCAGTGTGCAAGACAACATCAAATGTGGGACTTCTTTGTCTTTATCAGAACCTGTTTCCAAAGAACATATCTTGAGATTTGAATTTGATGGGATACAAGAAATACTAATCCAGTCTTAGTTTTTCTGATGAGGAAAGGAGAAAATGGTTGAGCTCGCTGATTTTTTTTTTTCCCTTACCAAACATCTAACAGATACAAATTAACTATAGATCCATGGGGAACATTCTTTGAATTAAGGAATTTCTTTCCAAATTAATATGCACAGGTTGCAATGTAAATAAGGGAGTAACTCGGGAAATCCTGCAAAGCAAAACCTAACTTAAGGGTTGGTGAGATGGCTCAGCAGGTAGAGGTGCTTGCCACCAAGCAAGGACCTGATGGCCCGAGTTGGATTCCAGGAATCTACATGGTAGAAGGGGAGTTGACCAAGTTGCCCTCTGATTGCCATGGTGTGTACACAAACATACACAAACACACACTGACACAATGTAAGAAAAAAATATTCAAAGACCTATCTTCAAACAAGAAGTTTTAAGCCTCAGAATAGAGACCATCTTTTTCTTGGTGGAGGGGGCACCCAAAAACCTCAGGTCCTTTCGAAAATAACCTACAAGGGGCAGGTGGCAACCCCTGGGACTTTAGTCCTCTTCAGTTTGCTTCAAATTGATCTCTTTGGGTTAGGAGCGGCTCTATGACCCTTACATTTGGTCCTCATAGACAACTTACTAAAATTATTTGATCTTATTATATACCAGACCTTTGCCACGCATTGGAGACGCCATCACTAGAGCAATTAGGGAAGCACAGACAATGAGAATAAAGTGCTAGGATTTGCACTCTACCTGTGTGCAAGGAGAAACAATGGAGGAGCAATCCAAGAATTTTTTTTCCGTGTTAACGGAGCCCTCCAGCCGCAGTGAGTTCAACTCTCCTTCCTGCCCTCCCTCCTATCATCTTTGGGTCGCAGCCTCCTGAAGAGGCCATCACCAAGGCCTTTGGTCCAGGGAGGCGTCCTACATTCATCCCCGTCTTTTGGGCGGGGACTGTCTCCCCCCGCAGCACTACAACAGGAAGTTGAGGCTAAGACTGCGGGGGAGGTCCTGCCCAAATTCTGACCCGGAGGATCAAAGCAATAAATGGCGATGGCTTGCGCACGGCCAGGAGACTCGAACCCGCGATGCACAGTGGTGTTCCCGAGCCCACTCATTTGTGGTGCAGCAAGGCTGACAGAGGTGGATTTAGACTTCCAAACTCAGCCTCCACATGTACCGAACACGACCTTCAGGCCTCCCGGACGCGAACCACCATGCTGCTGGGACACTGAGCCGGGTGCACGCAAGTGGAGCCCGACAGCCTTTAGTGAAAGTGACTGACAGCCTGGGCGACAGCGAGGCTGTGGGGGTGGGGGGTGGGGGGTGGGAGGGCAACGCTGCGCATGTGCAACACCTACCTAGTCGTGCGTGGGAGGGCTCGGTGTGAAATCGGAAGGCCCCGGGGCATCGGCACACGCCCGTCTCCGGAAGTCCCGCCTATCTTGCAGCGGCTGTTCCCGGAAGTCCATCTGCTTGTCGTGGGCGCGATGGCGTCAAGGTTACTTCGTGGTGCAGGAACTCTGGCGGCGCAGGCCCTGAGGGCCCGTGGGCCCCATGGCGTGGCCGTGGCACGCTCCATGGCTTCTGGAGGTACTCGGCGCTGGGCGCGGCGGGCGTGTCCTGGTCCTCCCGGGTGTTTGGTGTTGGGGAGGCCGAGCGGGGTCGGCCCTAGAGCTCTTCAGGAGGCTGCGGCCACCCCACGCTTCGGGTGCCTCGGGCCCCGCCGCGTCTGCTGTACGCTTTCGGGCTGTGGCTGCCGCCGCGCACCAAATTAACCGCACTTTGAAAGGGCGCCGGTGACCTTGGGAGGAAGGGACTGTCACCGGGGTGATGGGGCCGGACCGTCCTTCAGATCCTAGCCCACCTCAAGCCGAGCGAACTCTGACATGCCTTTAGAAAAAGCTGGAAAATCAGCTTCGGTGGTTGGAGAAGAAACACTTCGGCCAAGAGTTGGGGGCGGCGGTCATGACTCCGTGTTCTTAGGGCACCGCGGATATGGGTATCTTTGGACCCCACTAAAACTGAAGCTTATGTTGTAACGTTTCCGTGTTGATCACTTTTCTTGTCCTGTCAGTCGACATAATTCAATTTATCTTTTAGGTATTCCTACTGATGAGGAGCAGGCTACTGGGTTGGAGAGGGAGATCATGATTGCTGCACAGAAGGGACTGGTGAGGAGAAACTCTGTTCTGTGTCTCCTGGAGCCCATGGGCTTGGATGAGATCAGAGCAGCCCCGTGTCTGGGAGCATTTCATCCTGGAAACCGGAATTGCAAAGCCCCTTTTCAGTGGTAGGGGTTGCTTGTCTTAATTGCTCAATTCTTGTTTTCTCAGGACCCATACAATATACTGCCCCCAAAGGCTGCTTCAGGCACCAAGGAAGACCCTAATTTAGTCCCATCCATCACCAATAAGCGAATAGTGGGCTGCATCTGTAAGTACTCTGTTTGCTGACATTTGTCTAATATAACCTTCAGATCTTCAGATCTTTGTGTGTGTGTGACTGTATGTGTGTAAACTGTTGTAACGGTTCTGACCATCTTAACCCTCATCATGTCTGGAAGGAGACACAGAACAGCAAAAAGACTGGCTCCCTGGATGTGTATCATGAAGGAGTGTTTAACCAAGTATCTTTTATATTCTGTGCCAGGCATTGTCTCAGGCACTAGGGGCTATGTAAGAGTGCAGATTGGGTTTGGGGGCTGTACATTGGGAATGTGCTTATTAGCAAACCCCCCCCCCCCCCCCCACCGAGAAGGTTATTTCACTCATAGGAAACTCAGGGCCTTGGTTTTTTCATAAGAAAGAGGAGAGCTTGAAGTGATCTCTTAAGATGTCAGTCACAGTTTCCTTTCTGCCTCAGAAGTGTCGCAAGAAAGAGTTTAATGTTGAAACTCTTCCTTTTTATGCTGGATGACTTTAAACCGCCTATCTTTCTCCTTTCAGGTGAAGAGGACAACTGTACTGTCATCTGGTTCTGGCTGCACAAAGGCGAGACTCAACGATGCCCAAGCTGTGGAACCCATTACAAGCTGGTGCCCCACCAGCTAGCCCACTGAGCCCCTGCATTAATTTCTCAGAATGTGCTATAAAGTTTCTTCTCTCTAATAAAGACTAGCCATTGTGTTGGCTCCTCCCATAGATTGCTAGTCTTCTTTCGCTTCTGCTGTTTGTAGGTATGGATAATTTTATATTGAGAATAACTGTTAAAACACTCTTGTCATCCACTTAAAATGTACAACCAGTGCATAATTGTTAGACTAGTGATGGAACTAGATTAGGGCTAGGGGTGTAGGACATAGCTAGTGTGCTTAGCTTGTGTGAGGCCCTAAGTCCTCAGCACTTCTCCATCCCAGTAAGAGTATCTGCAACTTGTAATGTAATCTTTGGGACTGCTTGGTACAGGGGAAGAGGATGTGCTGTGGAGTTGGGCTGACTTGTGATATTAGCTCCATCATTTGGTGTCACTGTGGGGATGTTCTGTGGTTGGTTACATCCACAAAAATGGGTACCTTGCATAGTGTTGATGCATAAACAACCTGACTAGTAGGTCCTCTCAATATCATTGTAGAGACAGGGTGGTCTTGTGAGAAGGGCTTTGGGGACTCTGGTCTTGATAGATGAAGTTCAAAGCAAGAGTTCATGGTGATAACAGCAATAAAACTTAAGTACTGGACATGTCCTGAAACCAAAGACTAGGTTTCTTCAAATAGCAAGGGTAGGAAGTGGGGAATGGGTGGAACCTACAGGGTGAAACCAATCCCAACATGTGGACTTGCTTGGACCTTGATATTTTTGTTTCTGCAGTGCTAGGGATTGAATACACATGCTAGGGCACTGCTGAATTCTATGCCCAGTCCTGAATCTTAGTTTTGGCAGGGTGAGGGGTGGATGTTGTATGAGTTCAGTACCTTACTGAAGACCATTGTAGTGGTTTCTGTATTTCCATGGCTTCCTCTGAATAAACTCTATCTTATCAAGTGTAGAGACAGACGGGAGAAGGAAGGACAAAGAGAAAGACTAAGCTGGATGCAGCTCCTAGTCCCAGCCCTTGGGAGACTGGTAGGAGGGTCATCTGAGCTTAGGAGTTCAAGTCTTTGCTGGGATATATAGATCTTGTCTCAAAAAGTAATTTGAATTCTGGGTATCAGTATTTAGGCATTTGTTAAACTTTTAGGTGTGAAGAGTTCATTTTTCTCCTTTAAATATAGAAACATAAGGGTGGAAACAGCTCATTTCAGCCATTATATGACAGATACTTTGGACACATTTATAAAGATTTTTACAAAGAATGGAAATGCTTTTTCACTTTGTTTTGAGATTAACCAAAAATGGCTTTGGTTACTATCTATAAAATTGGCTCACCCTCTATATTTCATTTGAATTCACGATAGGAGAGCCAAGGAGAAAGGCCGTTCCTCTATCTTGTTGATGTGTGTGGAACGTGTAGGCCAAGCTGTTGCTTCCATTCCTTGCTGTGAACTGACATCTCTGCTTCTAGGAAGTGCTCAGGCATTGATAGGCCACTTGAGGGGAACCCGGGGAAGGGGAACCTAGCATAGCCTTTTAAATCTTAACTGCTATGCTCCCACTTCAGATGCCGGTTTCCCACTAGCTATGTCCTTGGACTGCTAGTGCTGCTGGGATGTTCCCGTCTGGTGGCCTCTTGCATTCCCCATTTTCTCTTCATGGTCTCCTCATTGGATAGGATGAGCTGGATCATTAAGTGGTCTGTGTTCCCTAGTTCCTCAGTGCAAGTCCTCTTTGCTTATTTTTCTTTAAAAAATTGTAACCAATACCCACAGAAAGAAAAATCTCCAGGACATTTTCAGACTCTAGTAGGCAGAATAATGATCCTAAAAGATATCCACGTCCCAATCCCTAGAACCTGTAAATACCTTGGGCAACACAGTAAAAAGGAATTAAGGTTGTAAAGGAAGTGAGGTTGCTGGTCATGTAACCTTAAAATTGGATTATCCGGGTAGGAGAGAGAGGGAGACCAAAGAATGTGTGACTGATCAGAAATGTAGTGTTGCTGACCTTGAAGACAGGAAAGAGGCCTTGGCTAAGGGATGCAGGTAGTCTCTGGAAGGTAGTATCTGGAAGGCTCCAGATAGATAAAAAGTCCCATGGACACTTTGATTTCAGCCAAGTGAGACCCATGTTGAGCTTCTATGTAAGATAATACATTTACATCTTAAGTCAATACGTTTGTGATTAACTTTTTTACAGCACCAATAAGAAACTAAAACACAGACTAGAAAATTCCTAGGTCAGTAGTTCTTCAAATCTAGCTGCACTTTGGAATCACCTGAAGATCTACAAATCACAGAGCCCAGGCCATAGCAGACCACTGAAGCAGAGTCCCTGGGGATAGGATGCAGCTATTCGAGCTTCAGAGTCCTCAGTGTCTCCAGTCTGCAGATAGGGCTGAGAATCTGCCTTGGCTAACCAGGGGAACTTGAGTAGCTCCTTTCTTCACCTCCTGGTAACTGAGAGCATTTAGGCTAGAGAGGAAATGTAGTGTCCCCAACTAGGAGGACTAAATCTTTGGCCCTGCATGGAAGTGGGCTCCATCTGAACCTTTGGCCATTTAGCAACTTAGAAATTGGGGTCCATCTCTCCTCATCAAGGAGAATACAGACCTCACTAAACTATCTGCAAGTCCAGGAATAAACACTCCTGTATACATTTAAAATTTTTATTTATTATATGTATGCATGTGCAGGATATGTGGGAACACATGCCACAGCATACATGTGGAGATCCAAGGACAACTCTGAAATTGGCTCTCTCTTTCCACATTTTTTTGTGGGTTTGGGGGCTTGAACTTAGGTTATTGGGGTTGCATGGCAAATGCCTTTACCCGCTGAGCCATCTCACTGGTCCCTCCTATGTTATATTTGACAAAGACTCACTTTGTAAAATCAAGAAAGTATAGTTTATATATTTCTGTCACTTAATCCTCAGACTCTCTTCAAGTTTTCCTAAGTGTTTTTTTGTTTTGAAAAGTGTTGCATAGTCCAGGCTCGCCTCAAACTAATGATCTTTCTGTCTCAGGCTCCCAATTGCTGGGATTTCAGGTGTGTGCCACCACACCCAGTTATTCCAGTGTTATTTCCAGCAAGAGGATCCAATTCAGAATAGTACTACTTTTAGCTGTTATGTCTGGGACAGTTCCTGTCTTTTCTGCACTTTCCTGACCTTGACACTAGATGACACCAACTTGGTTTTGTCTGTTTCATGATTGGTTTCAGGCTCTGTATCTTGGGCAGGAGTACCACCATGGTGGTGCCCTTTTTGGGAGACCTAAAATGCTTGTTTGGCCTGATGCTGACGGGTTTGCTTTGGTCACCTAAGCTAATGCCAGGCTTCTCCACTGCAAAGCTGCCTAGCTATTAAGTATCTTAGGTCAATACTTTGTTGTTCTCCTTGGATGTGTGTGTTATGTGTATGTGACTGTGGATGCTTTCACATCTGAAGGCCAGAGGAGGATGTTGGGTGTCTTCTATCACTCTCCATCTTACTGCCTTGGGACGGTCTCTTACTGAACCAGCAACTCACCATTTGTGTTAGCTGCCTGGTCAGCAAGCTCTCAGGATCTGCTTGTCTCCACCTAATTGGGTGTTAGAGTCACACAAAACCATGCCCGGCTTTTTATGCTGGGGATTCAAACTCTGATCTTCATGCTTGCAGACCTAGGGCTCTTACCACTGTCATCTCCTGAGCCCCTAACTATCCCAGGCTGACATTGAAAAAGTGTCAGTTTTCCTACCTTGGTTTCCTTGAGTGTTGTGGTTACAGGTATGAACCACCATACCAGCTAAACATGAATTTATTAATTTCTATCAGTATGGATTCATGCTTTCTTATTTTATTCAATGGTTATCTTCCATGCTCATTTATTTTTTGGTTTGAGTTGTTGTAAATTTGGCCAGTAGAAGTTTCAAGCTGGCTGCTGCTGCTTTTTGATTGTTGTTTTTGAGGCCTGTAGCGCAGGTTGGCCTTGGAACTTGCCTTGGCCTCATAGGTGCTGGGATTGTAGACATGAGTTCCCATGCCTAGCTGCTGTGACCTTCTGACATGTCCCTATCATTGTCTCAGCACTTATTTTGTGGTACAAAATGTTCCTCCAGGCTGTTAATAAATCCATGAGGTAGGTGTCACTATTACTCCTGTTAGTGATGGAGAAATAGGAAACTTCAGGATTGCAGGGTTAGCAATTTGTGGGGCAGCCTTATGAGCTCACATCATTGTTTCAGAGCCCTAGTCCTTTTAGCCATCAGTGTTTATTTCAAAATAGTTTTAGACTTACAGAAAAGTTGCAAAAACCGTTCTTATAATTCCCATTTTCCTTCACTGTTTTCTCCATCAGTATTAAACATTACCATACGGCAATAATTGAAGCCAGGAAATTAACACGGATATAGTACTATTAACTAATCAACAAACTGAGATTTTGCTGGCTTTCTGGGAAACCCTTTCCTAACTCAGGATCTTACACTGTACTTAGTCCTTGTCTTCATGACCTGCCACTTCCGAGCAAACAATCTCTATTAAGATTCAGTTTAGGTTTACCTGCTGCTGGCTCCTGGGTACCTGTGTTTTACACCACCACAGGGAAATCAGGCCACTCTTAGGACACCAACAAGAGTCAGTAGGGGTTGGGGCTGGAGGAGAGATGGCTCAGCAGAGAGCACTGGCTGCTCTTGAAGAAGACTCCAGTTTGAATTCCAGCACCCACATGGCAGCTAAGAACGGGCCATAACTCTGGTTCTAGGGCATCTGACACCCTCTTCTGACCTTTGTGGGCATTACACGGCAGAGGCAGGTGGATTGTTGTGAGTTCAAGGCCAGCCTGATCTAAATAGTGAGTTCAGGTCATCTGGGACTGCGGGGAGACCCTGTCTCAAAAAGACATACACACAAAAAAAATCAGTAGTGGTCAGGCGCTTTGGTACACAGCTGTGTACTTGGGAAGTAGGATTGCCCCAAATTCCAGCCCAGCCTGAACTATAGAGTGACACCCTGATTCACAAAACCAAAGACTCATTACTAGAGCTGTAAACTGGTCATTCAGGTAAGGTGGAGTCTACTACTTTCTCCACCATGAAGTAACCATTTTTCCTTATGTAGTTAATCTTGTGGGGAAATACTGATACAAATATCCTTATCTTTACCCACTTTTTATCAAGTTGAATTTTTGTGTATTTCATATAGAAAATCATCTTTATACCTTCTTCCCCTTTAGCACCCTCCCATAGTTTCCCCCACTGGAGTTCATACATTCTGTCATTTGTATTAAGGCCTATCATGTAAAGTTAGTGTTCCCAGATGTCCCTCAGTGCAAGTTCATCCACTGGGATCTAGTCAGCCAATCTAGAGTCCCTCCCTTTAAGATCAGCTCTTCCTCACCCAGCAGTAATCAGTTGCCAATAATTCTTCGACTAAGATTGGGGCCTGCTGTTCATTTCCACAGTCCTATGCTGAATTTTTGTCTGCTTAAGTTTACATGGGTCTTGTGCATGCTGACACCATTGCTGTAGGTTTGCTTGTATGAGAAGAGTCCCAGAAGCCTGTAGGACTATTTCTGTATGGTCATGCCTCTCCTCCCTGGCCCTTACAATCTTCCCACCCCCTCTTCTGAAATAGTCCCTGAGCCCTGGGTGGATGGATATGGCAGTCCTGTCCAAGAACCCACAATCTGCAGACTCTTATTTTCTGTGTTTTGGCCATTTGTGACCTTTTGCATTCCTGGCCCTCTGTTGCCTGAGAGAGCTTCATTGATGAGAGTGGAAAGATGCATTAGTGTTCTCTTCATCCCTTGTTCTATATTCCTTGAGCCTTAGGTATAGAGGTTGCATCCTAGATGTGCCACTAAGCTTAGGAAATTCACAACCAGTTGTGGAACTTTGTAATTATCTCTGTCTCTTGAAAAAGAAGCATCTTTGATGGGTGGTGACTGGGATACTTGCCTATAGATTTAAGAATCCATATTTTGCACATAGTAAGAAATTACATCTGTCTAGGGATGTGACAGCCTGGAGTTTTCTCTAAGATCTATGACCTCTCCAGCTATGTGTATTTGGCCAGGTTTACAGTATCAGGCATGTTTCCTCCCATTGAGTGGGCTGTAAGTCCAACTATGTAGCTGTTGATTACCCCCAAGATTAAAGTGCCACTACTGCACCAATGTTCTTTACTGTGCTGGTTACTGGTGTGGTTTTTAGGCCTTGAAGCTGGGGTTGGATCATTGATTGTTCTGTTGCCCACTAACTTTTACATCCATTCTTGCCTACAAAAATTACCGTGGTTTACCCAATGATTATTTTTTTTCCCATGGTTCCTTTTACATTAGGGAATTCTACCAAAGAGCTAGCCCTTATTTTCCAGGTATTTTTCTGAATGTGTGTAGCACAGAGGCCAACTTTGTTATTTTCTTCAATTGTTTTTCCAATACATACATATATACAATTTCATGTATATGAGTATATTGCCTGCATGTATGTAAGTGCACCTGTGTTGTGCAATGCCTGAAGACAGACGGCTTCAGATTCCCTGGAACTGGAGTTACAGACAGTTGTAGCTGCCATGTGGGTGCTGAGATTCGAACCTGGGTCTTCTGCAAGAACAGCCAGTGCTCTTAACCACTAAGCCATCTCTCCAGTCCCCATATTTATATTTCTAAAGTATTTAAAATTTTTATTATTATTTTGTCTTTTTGAAGCAGGGTCTCTCTGTAGTCCTAGGTGTCCTGGAACTATGTAGACCAGGCTGGCCTTGAACTCAGGGAGATCCACCTGCCTCTGCCTCCCAAGTGCTGGGACTACAGGCGTGTATCACCATGCCTGGCTTATTATTATTTTTTTTTATGCCTGGTTTATTTTTTTATTTTACATGTATTAGTGTATTGCCTGCATGTATGTAAGTGCACCCGTTATATAATACCTGAGGAGGTCAGAAGAGGGCGTTAGGTCCCCTGGAATTGGAGTTAGGACGGCTGTTAGCTGCCATGTGGGTGCTGGGAACTGAATCTGGGTCCTCTGCAAGAGCCAGTGCTCTTAACCACCAAGCTTTCTCTCCAGCTCCTCTACTTTATATTTTGAGACAAAGTCATTGAACCTAGAGCTCACTTTGGCTAGACTGGCTCACCAGTGTTCCCAGTATCTTCCTGTCTCTGCCTTCTCAGATTATAGGTGCTTAATGCTATGTCCAACTTTTTGAGTGCCAGGGACCTTAACTCATTCCCTCATGATTGTGTGGCAAGCACTCTACAGCTCTCCCTAGCCCTTAATATCAATAAGGACTCATGAATATATATACGATTTACAGTACATTCCAGTTCTGAGCTGCTTCATGTTGGTTTCTTTGTTGCTTAGTCACTTTTGAGTTCTTACTGTACAATGCTGTAAGACATTGTAGGTACAGCTTGTGTTTCCCCTTAGAGAACTGAAGGATGGCGCTTAGAAGCAAGACCTGGACTCTGTACTCACTGTTACTGGAGTAAGGTTTCTAATCCCTCCCAGCAGGAATTACATATATTCCTACCCTGGTGCTTGCACACAGGTACTCACTTATTTCAGCATCAGTATAATAAAACTAGGACTTCATGCAACCTTTAATGCAACACAACACTGCAAGTTTAGTTTATCTGCTCACTTTCCTCACCTACAGCTTTTTCTCCACTAGAGCAGAACAGCCCAAGTCTAACCAGGCTATCCCTGCTGGAGATGCAGGGGGGATACCATCTAGGGCTTTGCCTTAAAGGATGTGATTTTGACAGATCTAAGGGGTCATTCCTGTGGAGAGAAGACCTTGAGCAGAGCTGGACATGGGATGGGTAAGATCCAGACAGGAAAGGAACTGGCCTCAAATCCCATGCAAGTGTGGTTCCTAGACGTGATTTCCCAGGCAGTGGAGTTCTACATTAACTGGAATTCTATTGAAGGGAGAACTGTCTCATCTTCACCCATGTCTGTATTTACTCACTTATATTAGTAAGGACTCATGAATATTTTATTGTATGGCTTATAATCCATTACAGATTTGAGGTGGTTACCCACGCATTAGGTATGACAGTAAACACACTGTGTGGGCAGAATGGAGCAGGGTCATGAAGCTAGGCTGGGATGGTCCTAAAGGGAAGGGATGGGGAGGAAAGGAACGGCAGATCACAGACTTGGTGACAAAATGTGGGGTATGTAAGGTAGGAGGGGGAGCTCAGTGATAGGTTCCAAACAGGTGGTTGGGAACCAACAATGCCCTGAGCAGAACCCTGCAGAAGAGCTGGTCTGTAGGGGCTCTCAGCAAAGGTTCCTATGTGAATTGTAACCATGTGCTGTGACCATGGGATACCACAGAATGCCCTGTACATATGTGATCAGTACTCTGGCCCACAGCTTTCAACACTGGTCTCTGGTCACTAACCTTCCATGGTGAACAACTGTCACTAGGGCACTAACAACCTTCTCAAGACTCTCCACATGCTAGCTCAACTGATCTCTCTACTCTTCCCTGTGGACTCCTTCCTCTCCAGCCTCACTAAGGCATCTCTCAGAGCTCTTACCTCTACCTGGGGCCCTCCCAACCACCAGCTCACCCCTGGGCTCTTACAAGCCAACCCTCAACTGTAGGCCCCCCTACATTTTGGCTCTACCAAAACAGCCAGTGTTTTCCTCACAAGCTGAATGCTTGTAGGGGTAAAGTTGTATTTTGTTCACTGTCAGCCACAAACACATGAAATGCTGCAGATGCTAACACACTAACAACCTCAGAACGTCTCTCTGATCAAGCCTGTTTCCAGCATCTTCCAGATTGTTCTGCCCCTTGCTGTGGAGCCTGGCGCATTCCTAGCCTATGCTTCCCTCTCATTCTACCTTGAGCAAATATTCCCAGGCTATCCTTCCTTCTCATTCTGCCCTGAGCAGACTGACATGCTTGCAGCACTGTTAGCACCCGCGTTTTGGCAGGCCTGTGCAGGCACTCCAACAGAATAGGTGAAGCTCTGAAGCACAAGGCAGCCAGCCCAGCCTGGAAGGCAGGGAAGGCAGCCTGGCTGCCAACCCGGGCAGGTCCCAAGAGGGTAATGAGGCTGGAGAGTTCTGCTGGAGGGTGAAAGGCTGGCCTCCCTTGTCCTGCTGCCTTGCCAACCACTGAACACCTCACACTCCTGAGCTAGAGCCAGAGCTACACTGAGTTCCCTCTGGTCCTTTCAAATTCCCCAGGGATGGGTGAACAAACAAGAGCACACAGAAACAGAGCCACACATTGGGCTTTGTCCATAATCATTACTATGATTTATAAAAAGAAGTCTTTCAGGCAACTGTGTTAAATTATTGTTTGGATCTGGGAGAGGGACATGGGGCCCTGGCCATGGTGAGGGAGGTGAGGACAAGCCCACCCTTTGCATCTGACTTCTGATTAAGTGGTATTCCCTCAACAAATGAAGACCATTAACCCTTTCCCACCCAGGGCACTAAGGTAATGAAGGAGTAGCAAGTCAATGAGGTGCTTCAGAGGGGAGTATGACAAACCACAAGCTGTGGCTGGCTGTGGCTGCCCATGGCTCTGACGCTGACCCTTGGCCACACTACTTTGTTGGGGATGGAGGACTGTTCCCTAGTCAGTCCCATCTAGGACACTTGCCCAGCAAGACTAGAAGACAGAGTATTCAAGAATCTGGGCAGCCTGGTCAGGAAGAGGTGGCATGGGATGCACTGAACAGTCTCACTGCCCCTGTGGGAGCTGCTGGCTGCCCCTCCTTCAGCCCACTCCACAGGTATCCAGGCACCCCAGCCCCAGTGGGAGCCTGTTGGAGCAAATGGGGCCTTTGTGTGTCTGGTCTTGGAGCTTTAAGACCTGGATCAAGGAACCAGAGGCCAAAATGGCCCCACTGAGAGACACTCATACCATCTCAATGTTAGGTTCCTCAATCCTTATGCTTCAGCTCTGCCATCCATGCAGCTAAATATTACTCTGTGTGAATGTTGAACGCAGGGAGAGGGGAGGGTTACAGGTGAGTGTGGCTGCACCACCTGCTCAGGGGTCGGGGCATGCAGGGGACCCTAAGCCTAGAACATAAACCCAGACCAAAAGGGGGTCAAGGGCTCTGGTTCCCCTTTCCTCTGTCTCTCCCAACATGTCCACCCTTCTTGGACATTAGAAGGTTTTGCGATGAATTGCACGAGAGCCATCTTCTTCATACTCTTTTTTGGATACCCACATCTTCTTAAAAGTGTCCAGTGAGGCGAGGATGGAGCCGCTGTGAGGATGGATGGATAGTATTTTTGAAGCCCTTTGGGCTGAGCCAACTGCTGTCCCAGGGCCCTCAGAGGCTCCCATTCCCTTATTTGGAAGAGAAATCCACCCACCTAGGCTTGTGTCAACCTTTGAGGAAGAATCCAGGGCAAAACACTACCCAAGCCCTCCCACTTGAGCCCCATCTCACCCGATCCACGTGGAGTACAGCCGTTCCTGAGGGGCTGAAATCTGGAGGGGGCAAGTTGCTGTGTGACTATCTACCCCACAGCTGCTACCCTCAAACAAGGCTGTGAGTGGGCAGGACCGGAGGCAGAGGTGGGGGGAGGGTGGCTCAGAGGCAGCCCTTATCCTCCCTCCAGGTCAAAACTGCCCACTACCCTCTGCTCCAGGAGGTCTCCACAACCTCACCTTGATTTTAACGTCCTTTGGGGCAAGCTTCTTTACTTCACTTAGTAACCGGTCTCCAAAGCCTATGAACACAAGGATGGCAGAGCTTGGACCACAGCTGACCTCCTCGCCATGGCCAACCTTCAGACCCCTAGCTGTTGCAGTCTTCTTTTAGCACTGCTTCCAGGACTAAGGGGAGCACAATCCAGCACCTGACTGCAGGTGGGCAGGGCTTGCTCAGAGTGGCATGAGATGCAATTTCAAGTCACACAGCTCTGCCCAACTCTCTGCCCTCCCTAACTGCTCACCGAACACTGTCAATTATCATCTGTCACAGTCTAAGGAAAACTTCATTTTATTGCTTGGTTTTTGTGTTATGTTTTAGACATTGTCTCCTCACTATGTAATCTAAGCTTGACACTGAACTCTGGCTCCTCCTGCCTCAGCTCCTGAGTGCTGGAATAACAAGAGTATACCACCATACCTGACATTAATTTTTTTTTTTTTTTTTTTTTTAGACGCTGGGGAAAGCGGGAAAAGCACCTTTATCAAGCAAATGAGAATAATCCATGGGTCTGGCTACAGTGATGAAGATAGAAAGGGGTTTTGAGACAGGGTCTCCCTGTAGCCCCAGCTGGCCTGGAACTGACTATGTAGACTAGGCTGGACTCGAGCTCACCGAGATTCACCTGTCTCTTGCCTCCTGAGTGCTGAGATTAATGGCATGCACCACCACGTCTGACCTGGCATATTCAATTTTAAATTGAGTACCTTAAAAGACACACTCCCCCCAAAACTCAGCTGAGTACCATCAAAAAGACGATAGAAAGGGAATGTCACTGGCTCCAGTGTTGGTTTGGTCTCTGAGGAGCCAGCTACCCTGGGTCTCTGGTCTTCCCATCTCCTCCTACCCACAGTACCTTTAAAGAGTGTTGAGCCCCCTGAAAGCACGATGTTGGAGAACAATGTCCTGCGAAGGTCCATGTCAGACTTGTGGATAGCAAAGGCCAGCACCTCGTGGAGCCCCTCGCTCTCATCCCCCACCAGGTCTGGCTGGAACAGCAGCTCGGGGGCCCGGAAGCGTGCAGGCCCCACCTTTGGAGGAGAAGACTGAGGCAGACAGGCTTCCCAGAGAAGTCAGCTTTCTCCTCTAGGCCAGCATCAGCTGCCACCTTAGAACCAGGCCTGGCCACTTACGTCAAGCGTGCTGCCATCTGGCAGGGTGTACTGCACCTTCTCGGTCTCTAGAGCCTCATCCTTTTGCGGGTTGATGGACAGGTAGCAGGCTCGCTGTGAGGGGCAGGACACAACCTTAGCAGGCTGCAGCAGCAACATCTGTAGCCAGGGCTTCCCCTCATGCCCTGATTCCCCCATTCCCAGTCATGCCCACACACCCCTGCCCTTTATTACCTCTTTGATGGTCCGGACAACCTCAAACTCTGCTGAAGTGTGAAAGTCGGCCCCTTCCTTGCGCAGCAGCAGTCGTAGGTAACGGGAGACATCACGGCCGGCAATGTCCACCCGCATGATGGAGTGTGGCATGGCAAAGCCCTCATAGATGGGGACAGCGTGAGTGACCCCATCCCCTGAGTCTAAAACTACTCCTGTTGTGCGTCCTGTTGCATACCTGCCACCAAGTCAGCATCCTTTTACCTCAGCCACTGAGGTAGGAGGACCTCCTTACCCCCCACAAGGGACCCTGGGATAGTACTGATACTAGCTAGTCTAAAAAAGGGGCAGGAGAGACTCTAAAGGAACAGCAATGCAGGGAATCAAGAGGCTGCACCTCCAGGGAAGTCAGGATGGGGACTTGGGGCACTCACAGGCTAAGCACGGCCTGCATGGAGATAAACAGCGCTGGGACATTGAAGGTCTCAAAGAACACCTCTGCTGCCTTCTCTCGGTTCTTACTGGGGTTCAGTGGGGCCTCCGTTAGAAGAACAGGATGCTGTGAGAGATGAAGGGGTCACAAGTATGTACAGATAAGCTAGGCCCTAAAAGATCTTTCTTGAGCTAAAAGTCCCACTTTGAATAGCATAGGGTTCCATCCTGTATCTGTTCCAAAACAGGGTTCACTCTAGAAGATTCTGCTTGGCTGCCACTGGCTGTGCATGTACATTAAGACCCACAGAGAAGAGTAGCGGGCCCTATCGAATGCAGACAAGGAATGGAGAAGGCCTGACCCAATAGGAAGTGGAAGGAAAGGGCAGGAGGGAAAGCTGGGAGCCTGGTGGGAGGGGCTGCTGCCACACCTCCTCAGAGAAGGTCTGCAGCTGGTCCTTGGAGTAGACATACTGCCAGATGCGCTCCATATCGTTCCAGTCCCGCACTACACCATGCTCCATAGGGTAGCGGATGGTCAGCAGTCCCCGGTGCTCCTGGGGTAAGGGGATAGAAAGTCAGACATGGCACCAGGCCATGTCTTCACTGGTCAGCTGCTGCCTACTTTCCTAGAATGTGCCCCCTGCCTCCTGGGTGTCTCTTGCTCTGTATTGGGGTTCCCAGAGCTCACTAGCTTCAATTAGCTGAGGACCAGAGAAAATGGTAATGTCACCTACTGAAGGATAGTCTTCTGTGCAAAACAGCTGCCATTTTCATCAGAGCAGCTGTGCTTGCTGGCAAGAAACCATCAAAAGCAGGCCTGCTGGTAGTCGCGAGGTCTCTCAGGAGGGGATGGGGCCATTGGGCCCTCACCAGAGATTCCTCCTCCTGCACCTCCCAATCATTTGTATGGCGTTCTACCCTAACTGCATGTGGCCTCAAGACTGAGGTGCTAGAGCATTTAGGCAGGGGAAGGTTAACTGAAGGGAGAACCCCAGCTGTGCAGCTATGGGGAGGCTGTGTGGAAACTTGCCAGTGTGGCTGCTTTGGGGATCCCATGCTCCATAAGCAGCCCCTCATCCATGCTCTGTGAGTAAGCCCAATAAGCCCACTGGTTTCCCAGAGTAAACTCTGACAAAATTGTACTTTGGTTTGTCATTGGGGGCCATATAAAAGAGGGGGTAGATATTTCCCTAGGGAAAGAATTCTTGCAACACTCCCCATAGTCAGCAGAGTATGACAACATCAAAGATGAGCTTGGGAAAAGCAATGGCATTGCTTCCGCTATGGGTGATGAGACAGCAGCCCAAGCTGCACTGAGGGTGGAGCATATGCAGAAGGACTGGAGATATGCCGTCCTTCCCCATGTGGTGTGTGGGTGTTTACCTTGCTGTGGTAACAGCTGCAATGTACCTGCCCTGGGTAATAAGATGTGCAACTGATGCCAAGATGACTGCCCAGAGGGAACATACTTGTGTAAGGAGGAATTACAATGGGACAGGGACAAGTGGCCAGCACCCTCCATGCTGGCATCAGATTTGGAAAGAAAAGTGGAAAAAAGGGAGAGATAAGGTGGTGGCTTGTTTTTTTATGGCTGGGAGACCAAAGTGTAAAGGGATCCAAAAACTTGGAACCTATGGGAAACATCATGGTAGTGAAGAGGGAAAACCTGAGGTAAAAGTAATTGGTGAAGAACCGAGAGGTAGTGCATGATGTCCTGGTCATAGGCAAAATAGCAGTGCATTAACTAGAGTTGAGGAGGTTGATTCAGCAGGGACCCTAGGACTGGGCTGGAGTTTTAGTGGATTTGACGAGCCCCACTATGTCAGCTGTCGGTGGAGGAAGGCGCTCCTATGGGGTGGAAATGGTAACACAGCTACTTCCCTAGTGAGGTATCCAAGAACACTTGCAGGCGAGGACCATACATGGTGAAAGCTGCTCTGCAATGCCAAGCAAGGGTCTACCAGTCTCAAGCCAGGCAGTGTAGTCCTCACTACCAGGTAGGCGGGCAAATGTAATGAACCAACCACCTGTTCCCCTTGGCCCGTAATCTGGCCAGCTTGAACCAGTCCCACTGAATTCACTGAGGGTGGGGAAATGCATGCAGACCCCATGAGAGTGCCCCAAGATGAGGAAGCCAGGCAATTGATAGGAATGGGCAGAATCTTTTGATGTGGTACTGAACCTTGCCAATGTTTGAGTTCAGTATCTTTTTAATTTCTGAGATCAACTGATACCTATCTGGAAATGGATAAAAGACTTTCAGAATACTTCCTCAAGGTTATCTTCACAACCCCATTATTTATTCTGGGATGGTGGTCCAGGACCTTGCTTTGCCATCCTGCCCATCCTCTGTAAAAAGGTTTCATGATATAGATGGCATAATGTTAACCTGAGTGTTCTACAGATTTGGAAGCCCATTTGAAAGACATACCAGCACACCTAAAGGAGCAAGGATGGGAAATCAGGTGAAAAAGGGTACAAGAGGCAAGCGCAGCCATGAAATTCTTGGGAGCTTTAAGGTTAGGTGAGACACAGATGACTGAGAAACTTCTACAACAATCTGTGCCTGTAAAGGTTAAGGAGTTGGTGAAGGTATTCTGTGAGGGTGGAAAAAGATGCCCCCAGAGGCCATGGGGTTATGTAGTACCTGAGAATCCCAGTGCCAGGGGTGAGTTGCCTCCATGTGAGCTCCTGGCCAAGGAAGACCTAGAGGCCTCCCTTAAATGCTACAGTGCCATGCTGCTGGTTCAATGCCAAAACTAGATAGTAAGACACTGAAGTGCTGAAGACACTGCATACTTTGGTTGCAGGACTTGTAAAAATCAGGTTGGGGCTGAGCTGAAGTGTTCCCACCTTGCTGGCAAGCTTTTGTAGTGCCGGAAGGTGCTATAAAAGGTGTTAGGGAACATTACGGAAACGAGTCCTACTCTGCTGTGGAAGTGCCAGCCTACCACAATATAACACTGTTATGGATTCAACCAACTTCTTGGTTGGACTTAAGAGCTGCTCCACAGGGGGGAATTCATATCTGGGACTGTGAGACAGACAGAAACCTGTGGCTGGGGAAACTCACGACTCTAGTAGAGTGTACTCGGCTAAAGAGCCTTCCAAACATTTGTGTTCATGCGTATAGGTTATTTCTGCTGTCAGCTTCCATTTGGATGTTTTGTTTCCCTTTCCCCCCCTTTCTCACTCATTTTGTAGAAGGAATACTGCCAAGACTCACAATCAGCCATGCTCCAGAGATGGAGAGACTGTCGATAGGCTATGAGGTCTCAGTACTCCGCTGAAGTTGGAGAATAGTCAGATATCTATGTCACCCTCTCCAAGGCTCGGGGAACACTGCCGAAGAGGAGGGCAGAAAGACAGTAAGAGCGGAGGAAGGGGTAGTGTGTTACAGAATGCAGTCCTCCAAGCAAGACAGGTGCCATTTCCATCAGATCAGCTGTGCCTGCTGGCAAGAAACCACCACAAGCTGCAGGCTGAGTTTCCCTCAGAGGAACAGATGGGGAGGGTCACTGGATCCTCATCTGAGATGCCTCACTCCTGCACCTCCCAGGCATTTGGACACAGTTCTGGCCTAACTGCACACAGCCTCAGAGTGTCAGGGTCTTGAGAGGTGCTAGAGTAGATAGGCTGGGGAAGGTTAAGTAAAGAGAGAACGCCAGCTATACAGCTACGGGGAGGCCATCATCCACGTTGGCTGAAGACTGCTTTGGGTTTCCCCATGTTTCCATAAATAGCCCCTCCTCCATGCTCTGTAAGTAAGCCCAATAAACTCATTGGTTTCCCAGGGTGAACTTTGGTGGACTGGTATTCTGGTTTGTCACTGGGGCCTTATAAGGAGGGGTAGACATAGTTTACATCACCCCAGGGAAGGAATTCCCTCAGCATGCCCACGGCATAGTCCCTCCTCTGACTCCCCACAGTGCTTCCCCACTCACTGCTTTCCCCTTTCTCTCCCCACACTGCTCAGCTACCACTGGCACCTCTCCAGCCAATGCTTCTCTCAGACTACCTCTCCAATGGTCATGAGAGCCCATCACTCCTCCAAAGTAGAGATGGGGCTCCGGCCTCTTGGCCCTGTTCTCTAACCCATCATCTGTCTTCTGTATGACAGGCTGCATCTAACTGCCCTCTGATATTCCCCTTGGTACATGCCTTCTTGCAGGGTGCCACTTAGCTTCTCTTACCCACAACAGTGGCTGCTACTGGCCTCATCTTATGGAAACCTCTTATCTGTATTCCTGTTCAGGGATCCTTTTCCAGGCTCAGGACTGTGCCCTTATGTCTCAGGTGCCAACACAGCACTTGCCCATGATGGGCTGGCTCTTCCCCTACACTGTGCAGAAGCTAGGTAGGCCAGCCTGGTTAGGATGAAGGTGGCACTCCAGCCCTCCTCAGAGCAGCTATCAGGACCATCAAGTCTGGGTGATTCAAACTCTTAAACCACTATGTTGTTGTTTTTATTTTTTTGATACAGGGTCTCATGTAGCCCAGGCTGGCCTCAAACTCACTATTTAGCCAAGGATAACCTTGAGCTTCTGATCTTCCTGCCTCTACCTCCCAAGTGTGGGAATTATAACCATATGCCCTCACAACCCATTTTATTAAAGCGTTTCTTAATTAGTTCTTTCTCCTGTAGTTTCCAAACAGCTCTGAAAGACAGGACATGAGGTCTAACCATATTCCTCAGGAGTGTCATTTGTATTTTACAGAAGGGGCGTGCCACACACAGCACAGTACTGAACAACTGGAGTAAAGAGGAACCAAAAAGGCACCAGCAGAAATCCCTGAACAAGACCCTCTGATTGCCAGCCAGGTCTCCTATGAATGAGGACCCAACTCAGGGAAAGGCAGGCTCCAAAGTGTTACCTCTGCTTTAGGTCCAATGAAGAGGTCCCCCTCCAGGGCTCCAGCCATCACCCGCATGTGCTTAGGCCGCCCGACACTGCAAGGACACAGAACGTCAGTGAGGTGGCTAGGGTATGGCTGACCTTGTATCCAGGAAAACTGCAGTCCAACTCCAAAGCTTCAGAGGGTAGCTATCCTTCAAAACACTGGGAAGTAGCTTGGGGCAAAGACCTATGCCCCAAGTGCCTGGACCTATGGAAAGCAGGACTGCAGCATGACCCTTGGCAGCACAGGTAGGCTTGGATCTGAAAGAATGGGTCTCCCTCCAGGGAGGGTTGAGTGTGAATGCCGGGATCCTAGTCTCATGGTCTGGCCCTAGCAAGGGGTCAGCCTCTGAAGTCACAGTGACTCAGCCTACACCCTTATATGCTGATGGAGGAAGAGCAGCCCCAGAATTGGGTGCTGGCTTCCTTGCGCAGCCCTGTCTCTTAGTGGACACTGCTCCTCCCTTCCACCAGGGCTTTCAGAATAAAGACTGTTCTTGGCAAGCATAGATCTGATGAGCTGCCATTCTAAATCATGACCACATTCCCCACACACCACCACCAGCCTTCCCTCACACCCACTCAGTTTGGGAAGGAAAACTGAAGTCCTCTAGGGTCTCCAGGCCTGTAGCTCTTGAAGCCACTCTGGGGGTCTTAAGGTCCTGCTCTGCTCTGGTCTGTTAGCCAATGGAAAAGCCTTTAACCTCTAAGAGGTGCTCTGGAGGGAAACTTCTCTGTGAGCAGGAGGGACCCAGGGACTCCTAGCTCTGTGGGATGGCACCACCCTAGGATCCCTGCCACCCTGTCACCATCAGTACCACATTGGTGGGGAGGGTGTTAGATTGAAACATTTCCTACAATCTGAACATAAACAAGCCCTGATGGAAACATCTCTGGGGCTAGGGGTGCAGCTCAGAATGTGTATGCTTAGCTTTCTGGAAGCCAGAGGGTTAATCTCCAGCACCCAAACCCCACAAAAATCAGAAAAACTTTTCCAGGGAGGAAGGGGTGGCTGGGTACCTTCCCCTACTCTCTCTGGGAGTCTAGCTCTTCCCTTTTATTCCAGCTGCCACCACCACCACGCCCCATCCCCAGGGCAATGCTGGCTGCCTTTCCTCATCTCAGGTTCAGGGAGAGACAAAGGTGAGAGGCGCTAAGGAGGAAACCCAGTACTTATCCTTAGAGCTCTGTGTCAACCCTACCAACGTGGTGTTTCCTTTTACAGGTAGACAGGTGGATGCAGGAACAGTCCTCAAAGAGAGTTGTGACAGAGGGCCCCATGCTCTTCTCAAAAGCAAGTAAGGAGAGAGAGGAGGCTGCTGTCCCAGCAACACTTACTAGTTTGGGAAACAGTATTTGGGAATCTGGTCTCCTGCAAAACCAGCCTTGATCACCCCCGAACCCTGCAAGGAAAAGCAATGTTTAACTCTCAACATTCACCTCCACATGTGGCCAGTGTCCTGCAGTAGACAGAGAGAGTGGCCAGCCCCACAAGACTGGACATCAAGGAAGCAGATACCCCACCCAGAGGACAAGATCATTTATAAGTACCAGTGATTCAAAACTGGGGACCCACTTTGAACAACCTGCCCTGGAGATATTCGGCAGGGTCTGGAAACTCAAGCCAAGAGAGGGCTGCTAGGGGAATCTAGTGGGTGGAGGTCACCGTTACTGCTAAACACTCTACAGTGCACAGGTCAGTTGCATGAACACAAGAACCTGGCCCAGAAAGGCAACTGTGCGGAGACAGAAACGATAACATACATCCTCCTCTCTGAATGCCATGGCTAGTTCCTGGTGGGAGGAATCCAGCTACACTCCAAAGATAGCCTCAAAGTCATTCTTTTCAATAGCGCCCTTCTTTACCAGCAGAAATAGACCACATTCTGGGCCTACCAAGGAAGACAACTGGCTGTATGGGAAGACTGCCTTTCCTCAAACACCTGCCCTGGAAAATAGGAGGAGAGCTAGGTCCTGCCCCTACTCCAACCTTGGAGGCTGGACTAAGGATCTCAAGAACCTGGCATCTAGAAACCATCCACCCGGTAAAGGAACCACTTTCTCATCCTCTTAGCCCACCAATCTCCATCACAACCCTCTGGGTATGCAGTGCAGAAATAAACATCTTCAAGTTATAGGAAAGGGGATGCACACCCATAATGGGCCAGGCAGGTGTCTCTGAACTCACAATCCTGTTGCCCACCAAGAAGGGAAAATAGCCTGGTCCATACTGTAGTCTGACAGAGTACTGGTCTGACAAGCACATCCCCAAGCCCAGAGCTAGCCTCCTTCATAAACATCTCCTTATGACTTAGGGAAGTCCACATGGGTGCTCCTAAAAAGGCAGCCATAAAGGGATTCCATCAGGGTCACATGGGAGAAAGCTCCCAGAAAGAACAGAAGTGTGTCACTGTCAAAAATTCCAAGGCCTGCACATCAGGGGCATCAGCTCTAGGCACAGCCACGGAAGGGCCCAACCATGTCAGGGCTCTGAGGCCAGACATCTCCTAGGGCAGCTGAAACCAAGCAGAGGCCCAAGTGCTGAAAGACAAGGCCCCAGGAAGCCAGACATCTTTCCTTTCAGGCTTCCAGATACCCCAACTGCTGCTGCGTCCTGGGAAAAGTGGCTCTGCATGCTCCACAAGGGTCATTTAAGGAGAGAGGGTTAAAAGCATCAGATGCCACCAGTGGTGGTGGGGACTTGGCTTGTAGAAATTAACTTAGAGTTTTGGCCTTTGGGTGCAGCCCCTGGGGAAGTGTAAAGATCACCAGGCTCTCCAAAAGATGAGGCCAGCAGTGTGGAAAAGGTCAAATGCTAGCCCGCCTGCACCAGGTGGCCAGAGCTGAACAACATGCAAAGAGCCGGAGATCGAACCCCTGCCCAGGGCCTCCAACACTCGACAGATGGGTCTACGGGCCTAGATATGGCGGGACCGCCTGAGTCTCCAGCTGTCGCCGACTTCCCCGGCTCGGGAAGGTTCCGGACTGGGGCTCCACGGGAGAATGATCCAAAGCACATAGCCAGCCCTGCTGCCCCAGCCCTGGAACCCAGAGTGGTCCTGCGGGAACAGCGTGTGTGTGGTGAGCTGGGGACCAGCGGGACCCGCAGGGGTCACTGCCCGCACCGCCGCGTGCGGCCCTGGACACCCGCCCTTCCCCCGGCTGCTGGGCCTCACGTTGTCGATGACCACGGGCTGGTTGGCGATGATATCGTAGGACTCCATGGCCGGGCCGAGCCGGCCCTGCCCAGCAGGCGGGCTGCAGGAGGACCGGCGGGCGGGCGGTGGACGCGGCAGGACAGGCGACTCCCGACACCGCGCCGCGCCCCTCCCCCAGAGCGCAGCCTACGCGAACCCGGCGCGGCTTCTGGAGGGCGGCCCCTCAGCCAATCTTCGCTGCCTCCCAGTCTGATTGACAGCAGGCTCCGGGGCGGGAAGGGGGCGGGGCCTCCTGGAGCTGGCCAGCCAATTGAGGCCGCCGGAAGGCTGGGCGTTGCCAAGGTAGGCTGTGCAGCATCAGGGCTATGATGTCAGGGCTGGGTTCTTAAAGGGGTTGCAGGTATTGAAACGGGCTCCATTTGGGAGGTCTATGAATTTCTGCCAGAAACACGTCTTTTGAGCCCCATCATCTCCAAATGCTCTCCTCTGCGAGTGCTTCTTCCCTTAGGAAGCAAGTCTGAATATTTCAACGGAAAGAGTTATTTAATTAAATTTAATCCTTTTTTTTTTTTTGTTTGCGATAGGGTCTCACTGTGTAGCCCAGGTTGGCCTGGAGCTTGTAAGTCTCCTGCTTCAGCGTCTCAAGTGCTGGAATTACAGGCGTGTGCCACCATACCGCCTAGCAACAGATTACTTTGATGAAACTCAAGCCAAAGGTCAATGATAATTTCTCTTGTATTTTATTCTAGAAGTATAGATTTAACATAGATTTAGGCCTATGTTCAATTTTGAGTTAGTTTTTGTGCAGGTAAGCACAGGGACTCATTTTTGCATATGCTATCAAATATAGGCTTTCTTGATCCGGTTGGATGGATCAGCAGGTAAAGGAGCTCAGCACCAAGTGTATTCCTCCGAGTTTGAGCCCAGAAACCCACATTGTAGAAGGAGAGAACCAACTCCTGAAAGTTGTCCTCTGACCTTTACAAGTATGCCATATGTGACCATGGCATGTGTACAACCACACACAATAACACACACACTATTTAGTATTTAGTATAAATATGTAAAAAAAAGTGGGGGGGCGGCTGGAGAGATGGCTCAGCGGTTAACAACGCTGGTTGTTCTTGCAGAAGACCCGGGTTCCGGTCCCAGCACCCACATGGCAGCTAACAACTGTCTGTAACTCCAGTTCCAGGGGGATCCGATGGCCTCTTCTGTCCTCGCGGGCATAATGGGTGCACTTACCTACATGCAGGCAATACACACATACACATAAAAATAACAAATTAAAAAAAAAAGGTTGGGTATGGTGGCAATCCTAGAGCTAGGAGGCAGAGGTGGGTGGATCTCTGTGAGTCCAGCCTGGACTATATAGTAAGATCCAGGCCAGCAGGGTCTACAGCTACATAATGAGACCCCCCCCCATCTTAAAAAAAGAAGCCAGAGAGGTCTGCATCCAGATTCCCTATCGGCAATTTGGGTAAACTTTCAGAGGATGGTGTGATAAGAATAGGAGGTAGGAATTGGCTAGGCAGTTAGGGTAAAAAGACCCCAAAGAAAAGTAGCCAGTTTCTTGGCTAAAAGTCAAAATGTCTTTGGGCCTCTTAGCAGCATTCTCTGTTCCAAAGGCCAAAAATGTCAAAAGTATTTGGGAGCTTTTATCTAATCCTTAAAAGATTTTAGGGTTACCTCTCCAGAGAGGGGAAAGTGAGAGTAGCAAAAAGCACCATAAGAGAAAGAAAGAAAGAGTACAAGAAGTTGTCAGAAAACAGTGATGGGGGATATGGGAGGAGTTGGAGGGGAGGGAGTGGGTGTGCATTTGATCAAAAACCTTATATACATATATAGAATTCTCAATAAAATTTTTTATTTAAAAAAAAGAAAAGCCGGGCGTGGTGGCACATGCCTGTAGTCTCAGCACTTGGGAGGCAGAGGCAGGGGGCTCTCTGTGAGTTCAAGGCCAGCCTGGTCTTCAGGACAGCTGGGCTACAGGGAGACCCTGCTTCAAAAAGACAAAAAAAAAGAAAAAAAAGAAAGAAAAGATAAAAAAATGCATTTACTTTCTTCATTGAATTGCCTTGGTCAATAATTGACTTTTTTTTTTTTTGGGTCTTTTTGAGACAGGGTCTCCCTGTAGCCCCAGCTGTCCTGGAACTCACTATGTAGACCAGGCTGGCCTTGAACTCACAGAGATCCACCTGCCTCTGCCTCCTGAATGCTGGGAAATAATTGACATTTTATGTGTGAATTTATTTCTAGACTTTCTAGTCTGTCCCATTGATCCATATGCCAGTAACACATAGTCTTGCAGTGTTAGTTTTCACAGCTTAAGGGAGGCAATATCTCTTCCTTAAGTGTTGATAGAGTTTGCTAATGATGTTATCTAGGTTTTGAGTTGTCTTTGTGGGAAAATTATAACCCAAAAATTAAATTTCTTTAAAATAAATGTAGATGTAGGACGGTTCTGGTGGTAGTGGCTTCCTCCTCGCTTCCTCCTCCTCCTTCCTTCTGGGTGATGGGACTGGAGCCTGCAGCTAGGCAAATACTCGATCATTACGCTATACCTCCAGTCTTGCTATTTCTTCCTTTTTCAGTCTTTATTTTGTGTGTATGAGTGTGTTGTCTGCATGTATGTAAGTGCACCCTGTGTTGCACCATGCCCATGGAGACCAGAAAAGGGTGTTGGATCTCCTGGAACTGGAGTTATAGACAGTGGCCAGCTACCATGTGGGTGCTGGGAACTGAGTCTGGGTCCTCTGCAAGAGCAGGCAGTGCTCTTAACTGCTGAGTTATCTCTCCAGCCCTATTTTTTCTTTTTCTAAAAAATTATTTATGCATATGTTTGTGTAATTGTGTGGGGGTATATGCATGGGCATGTATGTGCACTCAGAGGTCAGAAGAGGACATTTAGTTCCCTGGAGTTGGAGTTACAGGTAGTTGTGAGGTGCCCAGCATGGGTGCTGGGAACTGAATTTGGTCCTCTGAAAGAGCAGCAAGTGCTCTTAACTGCTGAGTGATTTCTCTAGTCCCTTGATATTTCTTCTTGAGTGAGTGTCATTGGTTTGGTCTGTCATGGCATTTTTCCACTTTTAAGTTACAGAATTTACTGGCAAAAAGTTGTTCATAATAGACCCATGTTTTCCTTTCAGTGTCTGTAGAGATGTTGCCTCTCTCTTCTTTTTTTAAAAAAGATTCTTTTATGTGTATGTTTTGCTTACTTGTATGTATGGGCACCACTTACATGCAGTGTCCACAGAGGCCACAAGAGGGTGTCAGAACCCCTAGAAGTGGAGTTACAGACAGTTGTGAGCTGTCATGTGTGCGCTGGGAGTTGAACTTGGGTGTTCTTGCAAGAACAGCAAGTGATGTTAACTGTTGAGCCATCTCTTCAACTCCTTCCTCTTTTATTCTTTGTATTTTTAATGATGTGTATATGTGTGTGCCTGTGTAAGTGTAAGCCACATGTTTGTGGGTGCCCATAGGGGCCAGAGACATTGGATATCTGTGGAGCTGGAGTTGCAGGAGGTTGTAAGCCACTCAATGTGGGTACCGGGAATTGAACTTGGGGCCTCTGCAATAGCAGTGCATGCTCAACTGCTGAGCCATCACTCCAGCTCTCTCCTCTCTCATCCTTGACACTAGTGATGTGTACCTTTATCTTTTTCTCTGATAGTCTGGCTAGAAGTTTTTATGTTGCTATGATTTTTCCTCAAAGCTTTGGCTGTTTTTCTCAATGATGTTTACATTTTTAATAGGTTGTAGCATTGGCTACAAAGAATATGCTGGAGAGCCATCTCTCCAGCCCCTTCTATCTGATTTTTTTTTTTTTTGGTCTTTTTGAGACAGGGTCTCCCTGTAGCCCCAGCTGTCCTGGAACTCACTATGTAGACCAGGGTGGCCTTGAACTCACAGAGATCTGCCTGCCTCTGCCTTCTGAGTGCTGAGATTAAAGGCGTGCGCCACCACACCCAGCCTTCTATCTGATTTTTAACAGAAAAGTTTTGCCCACTCCCACTGTAGACCTGGGCAAATGCATAAAAATAGTGGTTTGGTTTTGTTTTCTAGTTTTTACCTAGGTGCAGTGTTGTAAATATGTAGTTCCTACTCCTTGAGCCCAGGAGTTTGTGGCCAGCCTGTGCAGAGCACAAGACCCCATCTCAAATCAAACCAAACCAAACCAAAATAAAACAAAACACACACACATCCAATAGAAGTAGATGTTTTCGTCTCCTGCCTAGACCTCCAGCAAATCTGCCTGGAAATGAGACAGAGAAAAGTTTAAGGATTATACAAATATAACTGGCAAATGATATAAACACCACATGCAGCCATGGACAGCTTGTATTTTCTTCCTCAGTTATACAAGGAGATGAGAGAGAAGAGGTTAAGTAGGAGAGGAAGTGGGGGGTGAGATTTGGCAAAAGGACTTGTTGGGACTCCACAGTGGTCAAGGATGTTAAGGGGACTTTGGTGGCTTTCATGTCATCAGTAGAACAATGGAGATGATGCAGTGCAGGCCTGGTTTGTCCTGGGACTGCGGGTAGTGGGGAAGATAGCAGAATTAAGCATGTGTGTGAAAATATAACGGAGAGGGTTTCCTTATAGCTTGAATGGGAAGGGGATGATAGAGAAAGAGAAGAATGTAGGATGTAATCTTGGATTTTGACCAGAGCAAGGAAGGATGGATTTTTTGTGGAGATAGTGTGAGGGATTAAATCAATAATAAGCAGACAGGCCCACTAATGAGCAATAAAAAGGGCACACTTCCTGCTTCTTCTTGATCTGAGACAAAGGCATGGGCCTCCCTGCAACCCCCCACCCCAAGTCAGCAGGGCTCCTTTTCTGGCTGACTGGTATAGACCAATGTAGATAAGGCCAAACCTGGACATACCTCACTCAACTTGGAGCAGTTGACCAATCCAAAACTGCCTCATACCAGAAAATAAGCCACTTAAAATGCCCAAACTCTCCTGGGGGCTTTGGATGTTTTGGTGTCTGAGTCCCCTCTCCACTTGTGGAGCACCTTTCCCTCTGTGTGTGTATGTGTGTGTTTAATAGTTTGTTATCTGTTGCTTTTTTCTGTATCTGAGATTTTTCCTGCTTTTCAGTTCTTTAATTGGTGAAGAAAACAAACCTGATCAAGATCCCTAGATGGCAACAATGGGGAAGATGGAGGAAAGTTGTAGAAGTGAGTGGTGGGATTAAGGC